CGCCCAATCTACTAGTTATTTTTGTGTTTGCATATATATATATATATATATATATATATATATGCATCAGGGACTTGGACGGCCGTACGCCATGCGCGTGAAGCCTAGTTCTTACTTCCTCTTGCTCTGCTCTTTTCGCAGCAGTGACCAAACACTCACACAGACAGTTATTTTTTGCTCTTCTCTTGATCATCCTTTTTGGTCTCTCTTCGGGTCCAGCTAACTTTACTCACTCTCCCTACTTCTGTCTGTTCCCCACTGCCTTTGGCATCTTCTGTCTTGAGAGTTGGCACTTTTAGCTACCAGTGTCAAGCGTCTTGCCTTCCCCGGACTCTTTGTGTTCTGTGCGTTTACGCGTCATGCCCTCCCCTCTCTCCCTTTTTCTCTATTCACTTCTCCGGTCCATCTTATCCCCCGTCAGCGGGCTGTTGGGGCTCCTTGCCGCCTCCAAGCCAATTCCATACCGTCTTCGTTGTCTTCCATCTCCTTCCCTTCAGACACCCACCTCGTTGTAAGAATATATATATATACATAATATGTGCTCCATGGCCTTTTTTCATACCTTCCACCTCCAGGGGTGACGAGCGACTCAGTTGTTCCCCTTCGGATTTGAAGTCTAATCAAGTTGGGGATGTGCCTGGCTGGTAACGGCTGATATACGCGAAGCCTTCCCGATCCCATTGGACGGGGATACTGTAGGGCATAACATCCTGTAGAAACTTTCATAGAAACAATGCCGCACCTTCTGTCGTACAACACTGCTAATTCCGCGTTATCGCGTTTGTGATTCCGTCTATAATGACTTTGTCGGCCGATTGTGGTCCTTCGCTGTCCTGTGAAGAGAGTCCTTGCTGCAGTTGCCACCACAGTCTCGAAGGGAGTCGAGCCTGCCAGATGGGGTGTTCGCAGTGCCCTGACTCACACTGTTAATTGGCTTCTTCGTGAAAGTCATTGAACGTCTGGCGGCGTCAAAGAGGGAGGGAGCAGCCCAGAATCTGGCTCGACACATTTTGCCAAGATATGGTGGCATTGGAAACTTCTGTATTCGACCTCTGTCGCTAGAGGGGAGAATATGTCGAGCTCTTCAGGACTACTACCGCTGATCGTCACGCGTGGGGAGGTACAATTCGCGACATCATTGAGGCCGTTCAAATCAGGCGCGACTTCATCTAGACAGAATGTTATTACCGACAAAGACAAGGGAGACTGTAATGGCCATTTCTTGCTTATCAGCCGTCTTTAGCCAGTCATACCTAACCCGAAGTGTGGGACACCTGGGGCTCGAACTCGCGACCTGTTGGTTAGAAGTCCAACGCCGCTAACCACTGAGCCACGGGCTTGTTGTTTTGTCGGTTGCGATCGGGAATGTACAATGGTAGGAGAGCGCTCGCGGATCGATTTTACGGAACTCACTCGTCCCATTGTGCCTTGCGGGCTCTCTCTCGAGCCAAACCAGCATTCGCACAGCGGCGCATGATGTAGGCAGAATGTTGGTTGGGCTTGATGGAGAGAGTCCGTAAGGCACAACGGGACGAGTGGGTTCCGTAAAAACGACCGGTGAGCCCCCACCTACCACGACTTCATCTTTACACGGTACAGCCGTTTTTGCGAGATAAATGATCAGAGGTATGCCAAAGAGGATGTGGAGACTTATAATGTTCACTCCGCGTTCATTCACCTCGATGGAGGGTGGTTTGAGCCACTGCGGACGTTATTCGGCCTGGTGACTCTCCTTCGTCAGGAGGGTTCGTCGTCGAGTAGTGTTTGCACAGTTGTGTGGTCATCTTGTCCTTGTGTACATAAGGAATCAGGACTTTATTGGCTCCGGCAAGGTCAGGCTGCCTGTGTACAAAGTTGCTATCTGTATATCACCCCTCAAGTGTTGTTCTCTGTCCTTTGGTGTCGTCTCATTCGTAACCCCGATTCCACAACTAACGATTGGCGTTGTGAAAGCACTATCGGCGGAGCGCTATGAGATGCACAGGCCACTAAAGTCGGAACGTCATCTTCAGTTCCTGCCGCACTGCCTTAAGTCATTTTTCTCATTTTTAGTGGACAAATTTACGAACTACTTCAGAGTGAAAGAGAGAGCTCGGGCGTCGCGTCCAACGATGTCCACCGTCTGCCCCACGGCAGGGTGAGTTCAGGGACGGCGACTTGCGCGTGAATTAGTTTGTAGTGAGAGTAGACTTGCGCAGCATCTACCACAGACTCCTCTCCCACCTGGGTCGGACACGCACCTAGACGTACCACCACATCCCCTGGTCCACAACGCACACTGACCAGGATTGTATACACAGCTTTCTAGCCCGTAAAGCAGCCAGCGAAAGGTCGAAGTAGCGCAATGAGAAAAATAACGACGGGACCGAGGCTGACTGTCTCGGCACACCATATGTATTTGTGCATTTGACGCTTTCATAGTGGCGAGTCGATCAAACTCTCGGAAACGTCGGCAGTCCAACAAATCGGCTCCAGTGAACCGTTTCTCAAATCTTCAGCCAGGATCGTTTGTACTCGTGGCAGGCGTTGGACCGAGGCTTTCAGTTGAGCCAGCCTTTTGGCAGGCTGCTAACATAAACATGCGACAGAATAGTGAAGGGAGGGACAGTTTCATAAATATAGAGCTGGTTCAACACCACCTTTTCATCATCTAACTTTTTGAATAAGTTAGGCATCGCGAAGATCCAGACACGATCGCTGGGACAAGAGCTTTATTAGCCGGCCTCTGAGTGCATTACAGAAAGTTGCGCCAGGTGCGGTAACTGCCTAGGTGCCCGAAATCGAGTTGCCAGTGGTTGCGATTTCATCATCCGTATGGCTTCTTGGGCACTTTTGTTTGCCGACACGGACACCAGGATTAGTAGCCAGCCTTGCACTCTCCGTGTGGCTAACTACTTTCCCTAGGCAGAAGTCTCAGCAACGAATATGGAGGTGCGAGGTCGTTACGTTTGTTAATCGACTACCTGGTGTGCGTTGGCAGTTCTCCGGCACCTAGTTCCCTGTCGGTAGTTGCGCTTGCGCTCCTGTTGCGTTGATGCTGATTAAAATCCTGGTCAAGTGTTTGTTGTGCACCAGGGGATGTGGAGTGGCACATAAATTGACGGGTTCGGCCGCGCCGACCCCCTGCGCCCTCTCCCGCCTCTGGTCTTCCTGACTGTATTTTGACACCGGGCTCAGGCGGGGGAGGAAAAGAACGTGCGATAAATGTGGTTCAAACCTACTGTCGCCATAAACTAATTCACACATAAGCCACCGTGCCTGCCCCCACTTTGCTGTAGAGCACACGGTGAACATCATCGACCAATCGGCCATCAAACTATCAACCGCCTGACTGAGGACCGGAAAACCATGACTCGAGCAGTTCGCGGCTCACGCGGTTGTCGCCTCTGGCTACAATTTCGGCCTCATCGAACGTGAATGTGTGCGACCGGGTCACGACGAAGGACAGCAACTTTGAGGCTGAGGTCGTTCCTCTTGACTGCTGCTGCGTGCTCGGGCACCCGCGTCCAGCGCAGACTTCCAGTTGCTCCGACATAACTGCTTTGCCTACAACCGTGCCAGACCTGGTAAACGACTCCTTAGGTCCTTGCCGTGGTAGTGGGTCTTGCGGATTCATGACCCAGTGCCCTATTGTTGTCTCCGATCTGTGCGTAGCTTCACGTCCAAGGGGTATGCCTCGTTCTTCCAGGCTGCTCCCCAGAATTCGCTTCTTTAGCCTTGTCGACAAGTTGGGTTATTTTGGTGTGTCGTGCACGAGTGAATATTCATCATCATTAATGTGTCGCTACAAAAGAATGACGATTGCGCATTTGTTGAATTTGTAAGTCATTTAGACATGTGCTAAACTGATCTTGTGTTCGTCTAACTCGCTCCCATCCAGACGCGCATGTGGATTCATAAACACGATTTGGGGTGGCATGCTTTGGTGCGTTATGTCTTTACCGGTCTGCTGGGGGTTTTTAATTCTGTGGATTGCATCTAGTGGATGCTGTGGAGCAGATACGTGTTTGAGCACGGCCGAGTTCTAAGTGTATCTTTCATGGCATTAGAAGTGAACCCCCGTGTCCGCGTTGGGAAGTTCTTTACAGGCTGTTTACTAGTTGCAACGGTAAAGGATCCCAGCTTACTGTTCTCTAGGTCTGCGTTCGAATCCTGGTTAAGGCGCGATTTCCCCTGGGGTAATTCAGTTTGACAGGATGGGTTAGGCGCGGAAATTGACAAAGTATTCTCAGATTGAGCAGTAATGGTAGCGTAAGGGTTTTTCCGATGTTTTATGAGACTAGTCGGACCATCGCTGTCAAAGCTTCAGATGGACAAAATCGGAAAGAACGGAAAATGACTTGCCTAGCTAGTCGGCCTTGGACTGATCAATTTTCTTTTTTGGTGTAGGTCTCGTGGACCTGACAGCTGATTGGCTCTTCACCTCCCTACCCACTGACCGTCTCCAGGACTGCGAAACATGCATTGCCAAGTCTAGGGCGCCTTTCTAATTGAGCAGCACAGACTGCAAAAAAGCGAATCGGTTACCCGAGCCACAACAGTTCGCTAATTTGCCGAATGGCAGACGAGCTGAGCCTCTAACTGGCGCTAATGTCCTGACGCCCGCTAGGTGGCTCGGGGACTTGCATATCGCACACCACTCATGCGTGCAGAGTCTGTGACCTCGGGCCGATCACGAAGGTGGGACAACGCCTAATTACCATAAGACAACGTTCGTTACGGACTCCGGCGACAAAAAGCACGGCATCTGTTGACTGGAATCACTGAAAATATCTGCTCTCTCTCTCTAGACAAAAAACACCCCTCGACACAATCCGTCAGGATGAACCAACTCCCAAACAGAAAGCCGCATGCGGACAGTCTGGGCAGGCAAGTGGACTTGGGGGAGGTTGGTAAATGTGTCACTTTGTTGAGGAACTGGATTAGAACCTATTTTACAAACACTGGAGTTTGCCATCCACATAACTATTTTTCCGCCGTTTCTGTTCAATGATTACCTACTAAAAGGATGACTGGTCATTCACCACAAGTGCCTGGGTTGGTGCCGTACGCTGTCTAGAAGAACGCTTGCTTCCGGCCACGATCTGCTTACAACAAGGCCGTATGCTAAGTTTCGTCGTCGGGTTCACCTCCTTCTCCTTCTCCTTCTCCTTCTTCTTCTTCTTCTTCTTCTTCTTCTTCTTCTTCTTCTTCTTCTTCTTCTTCTTCTTCTTCTTCTTCTTCTTCTTCTTCTTCTTCTTCTTCTTCTTCTTCTTCTTCATCTTCTTCTTCTTCTTCTTCTTCTCCTCCTCCTCCTCCACCACCACCACCACCACCACCACCATCATCATCGTCATGGTTACTCATACTTTTAGGGAAACTTGTCCTAAACATTGTATATGCGCCTCATCTTTCAAAAACCTTTATATTCAGAAGGCCTGCACCACTAAAGACAGCCAAATTCCTTCTCAGAAGGACACCACAGAGAACTCTGTTAATCAAAAATCTGATCAGAGATATAGTACCTCTTCGGATGTTCGCATGCGACTGTTTCGTTTGTTGTGTAACCTTGTAAAACCTGTTGCGGGCAGTTATCATGGTCAGTCTGGCGTCATTGTCCAAACCCTCGCTGCCTCAAGGTTATTCACGCCTTGCAGCGAGCCTCTCCAGACGCGCTGACCTGAAGCTACTCGATTGAATTCAGCTCGGACACACCTGCGTCCATATGATCGCAGCTGCTCATGCGGT